CTTTTTTTTTTGAGGTATTTTATTACGGGTCTTTATTCTACAGGATTGATTTTTATGAACAATCACAACACACAGTTCAAGAATTAGCCACAGCACAACACGCTTTAAACTACAAAATTGATATTTTGTAAATATGATCTACAAAAGGCTAGGGGCAAAACATGGAGATCCACCCTCGTATAAAAGCATAATAATTAACCTTGTTTGGATCTACAGATCTGCCAAGTGGTCATTTAAAAAAATTAATATACAGGGTGTTCAAAGGATAAATGATTGTGATATTTGATCCTAAATACGGCTAAATAATCCTAATAAACGAATTAAATTACTGGTTTTGAGCTTACATTAAATTGTAATTAGATGAAACAAAATGGATTCTATGTATTTAGAGGTGATCTTTTTGAAAAAAGGCAAAACAAAATGTAGCAGTTTTTCGAAAGTGCCGAAATTTTGGATTTTGTCAATTTTTCAATTTTGCGCAGGCGCATGTCGGAAATAAATCAATATTTTTAAAACGCAGTTTACGACATTTGAAAGCTTAGGAAAAATTCTAATTTTTATGTCTCTTGAGAAATTTTGATCCGATGTACCGTTCTCGCGGTATGGACGATTGAAATTTGTTTAGTATTTTGAGGCGACGAAGGTCGAAAAATTGAATTTGTTAAATGTTCAAACACTAAATTCTTTATAACATTGTTAAAAATTAGGATATTTGAAAAAAAAAATGCCTTTTGAACTTAAGGGATGTGACTAGTGATTACCAAAAGGGGGCAAGAGACATCTCAAAATTGGGCATATGGCGGAAGGGCAAAATGCACCGCGGTCCTAATTTCATTGTTTGTCTATAACGGCCAAACTATTTGAATTTTTTTAATGCCACTTACAAAGCTTACTCTTGAATGTGAAATCTTATGTGTGTGTAAATTTCACCGACATCGAACCATAATTGGCTAAGATATCAAACTTTTAAATAATTTTTTTTCCTTAAAAAAAATTTTTTTTTTTCGAAAGTTTGAAGTGGCACAAAAATGCCAAAAATGCACCCAATGGCTCAAAACTTTTTTTTGAGTACTCTATTGTATCTAGAATACGATTACATTACGGAAAATTCTGCACATATATTTTGTCTAATTTTTTGACCACTGTTCATTGAGTGACGACCAAAAAACACGGTTTTTGAGAAAAGTTGCGTAAAATTGACAATTTTTAGTTTTTTTGTCTGAAAATTTAACAAACCCAAATTTCATATCTTCTAAATGTGTAGACAAAGTTTAAAGTGTGTATGTTTCTTCTAAGTTGTAGAATTCTCCCGACAAAAGTCCCATTACACGCGCTCCGCGGGATCCAAAACTCGTATACACTACATTACTGTAATTTGATTTTTGCGTTTTCCAGTTTTAAATTTCTTACATATCTAAACTTATTAGGCTTAAAATTTATTAAATTGTATTTTACTGACTTGTTATAAGACGTTTCTTGACTTTTGTGCAAAATATAGAATTACCAGATATTAGCGAACAAAAAGCAAGCTTATCACCAAGTTTGAACTTACACTCAGGCTTAGATTTGTGTATTTTTTGTGCTCTTTTCGATGGCGAAGTTAGTTTTTTCAAATATATCTTTTTTGTTAGATGTTTTCGGAAAACCCGGAAAAAATCATATGGGAAAAAAAATAAAAAAAAAACTACGCCTCTGGTTTCCTGCGAATTCCCGAAAAATTATGTCAGATTTCGCTGCGGGACTTATTTTATTTGAGAGCCAACAAAAAAATACGCAACTTCTCTCATGGGCACATACGTCTAACATTTATAATTTCGCCACAAATTCATCGCAAATTTCATGTCCATGGTTCTGATCAAAAAAACTAAAAAACGACTTTTTGGTAAAAGCACTTCTTGCGGCGAGAAATTCGCCATTAAAACTACCTGTGCAATGAATTTCTGAACTATTTTTGCCTCCTTTTTCGAATGGTGCATTTATTTTCACTATCGGAATGATACTTGCCCAGATAATTAGCATTTTTACAATGGAAAATTCTGGAAAACCCGGTTTTTCCTAATTTAAAAAAAATTGAAAAACTGCTACATCTTTTTTTTTTCTTTTGTTCGGAAAGATCACATCAAAATACACAAGGTCCTTTTTGTTTTATCCAATTACAAATTAATGTAAGCTCGAAGGGGCTTTTTTTCGTTATTTAATTGGACTATAATTGTGATGCAATAAAATAAACAAAATCCCGTTCGTTTCCATTCCTGTACCCAAGGTTCGTAGACTGAAACGATAGCCTCATCAGACTGCTGGGGACGGAGGTGTGACGTCGCAGAATGAAAAATCAAGGTAACAGAAAATATTCTGCCGAGGGCCAAGCTGGTTAGATTTGTACGGTGTGTCTATTTGCAATGCGTCGTGCCAAATAGGATCGAAGTAGGTCCCTCGCTTTCCATCGTGTGCTATATAGATCCACAACAATATACAAATCAAACGAACTTGGGCCAGTTGTTGGCCCAGGTACGGCGCAGGCACGGTGCGTCATATTTATACGAACCCTTAACCTTAAACTCGCCCATATTGTTTTAGAATATTAGGTTTCTGGAGAAAATGTTCGTCAATCACAATACAGGCTGTTAAAATTAGGTATAAAAATTAGTGAAATAAATGTATCACATTTTGTTATCTCGCTTACACTTAAAGAGCAGGTTTTACATTATTACATTATTTTTCTGGTCATGGCGACTACTTAATTGCATGTTATGGATTCCCATCGGTAGTAGGTCTCCTTGCGAAATATAAATTTTCTGGATACGAATATACGTCTCTTGCAATATTTTAAACCACCAATCATAGTATGAGCAAATCGATTAATATGGCGTTTTAGCTTAAGTTTAAGAACATATACATACAACAAAACATAATACAAAATGCTACATATTATGGGCTCTTATAGTTCCAATTTAATAACGTGAGTGCATCATCGTCCCTCTCACTAAATTGAGTCACTACTTTCGAAACTCCATGGTTGGCCGAAACCGAACAAATTTTACCCGAATTCGTCCCTCTCACTAAATTGAGTCACTACTTTCGAAACTCCATGGTTGGCCGAAACCGAACAAATTTTACCCGAATCACTTTGATCTAAAGCGCTAAATTAGTACGTAACAATCATGTGCAAATGAAATTTAGTCCAACTTTTACATTTTAATAAAATAAAAATTGAGTTTTCTGCAATATCGCAATGAGTATCTATAAGATATATTAACTGTCATGGAATTTTGACATATTTCAGTACTTAATTAGTAATAATTATTATTGTTTGATTATTATTTTTTTAATTTATATCTTATAGCATTTTAGTTTTATGATTTAAAACTGTGTTGTCAAATCATCTATAATGCAAAGTTTCGGAACTAGAGAAATTTATAATTATTTTATATTATAATTATAAAGACCCAATCTACTAAGGCTTTTTATAAAAAGCCCATAGTATTTCAGCGAATTGTGGGTAACACAATTTGCCTAAATTAAAGAAGCATGGCATATTGTAATTTAAATTACTCTTGCGAGCTTGTTATTGAGACGTTGCATTATATAGGGTTGGTCAGTATAATTACAAAGATACCAAAATTCTTCCATACCACTTCAACTTTTTATTATATAAAATAATTTATAGCGCTAAAATTATTAAAAACAATTTTAGAGTTTTCTTGAATATGTCCAATAAATTTGAAATCGATACCGGTAAACACATGGGCAATTTTTTGTTAAAACTTGTTTTTTTTTTGGCATTTTAGAGCTAGTCTGACAGTTTTAAGTCAAAAAAGTTTTTGATTTTTTTAACGATAAAATATTTACCCTTCCTTGTGTAATGTGATAGTAATAGAATAAACAAAAAAGTTGCATGACCTTATATTAGCAATATCACGATTAATATCCGGCAACTGAAATGGTCAGCTATGTGAAACAAATTTAAACTAGTTCTATAGCTTATAGTAAATCTTCTAGTACAGTGTTTCACAAAATGTGCTTCGTGAAGCCCTTCAAAAAAATCGATTCCCCTACATATTTTTACCCCCAATTTCCCCCCTTAAAATGTATCAAACGTTGAAATAAATCATTAACTATTTGTGATGAGTAACTACAATTCAAATTTTTAAGTTCCTACCTACCTAAAAAATGTATATCCCCATACAAACATTGACCCCTTTTTCCCCTTAAAATGTAAAATTTAAAAACGCTGTATCACCTCATTATTTATTTATGATAAGTAGATATAATTCCAATTTTTAAGTTTTTACCTTTAAAAAATTTATATTGCCATACAAACGTTCCCCCTTCTTTTTTTCCCCTTAAACTGTAAAATCCAAAAACCCTGTATAACATCATTATTTATTTATTTATTTATTTATGTTAAGTAGCTGCAATTCCAATTTTCAAGTTACTATATTTAAAAAATCAATCCTCTACATACTTTCACCTTAATTTTCCCCCTTAAAATGCATAAATCCAAAAACCACCAAAAAATCATTATTTATTTGCGATGAGTAGCTATAATTTTAATTTTCAAATTCCTACCTTTAAAAAATCTATATCCCCATACAAACGTCCACCCCCTTTTCCCCTTTAAAATGTAAAATACAAAACCCCTAAACAGCGATGGAAAGGCAAGAGAATATCTAGGTTTAAAGTAAAGAGGAGAAAGAGAGATAAACTGCCATCCTCAGCAAATGCCCTCATTCCAAACTAAACAAAAGCGGCTTAATCAAGGTCTAAGGAGCGACGCTAGTTCTGCCTCCACAACAGGCCAGGAATACGATGCAACTAACATCAAGAAAAGGCCGCGATCTCACACGTCTTCCGAGATAACGCCCCGGAAGGGAAAAAACCCAGACAGGACCAAATGTTTTGTCTGGGATAAGCTACAAGGATGCAGCTACGAGCCACCTAAAAGTAGCTATATTAGACAAGGATAATCCTTAGAGTAGGATAACCACCGAAAGAGACTGATGGGAGAGCTAGACAAAATAATTTTATCCGCCTCCTGCAGCAAAACCAAGCCACCTACATTTAGGTCTTGGACGCACTCTGGTAAAATTATCAGAGTAACGTGCGACGATGACCTGAAGATGGAATGGCTAAAAATCAAGGTACTAACCTTAAAATGCTGGAAAGGAGCATCACTTGCTGTTGTAAGGATGGACGAGCTCCCCAAGCTTACCAAAGCCACTCTCTGGATCCCAGGGGAAGCGCAAGCTGACCTTGACGAGAAGGAGGTTGTGCTCAGGCGACTTAAGGAGCAAAACACAACCTTACACGTGGCGAAATGATGCATCTTCCATTATAAAATCAACAGAGACCCCAAGGGTCATCTCTTCGTCTTTGGCATCGAACACGAAGACATGGGACAATGCCTATAAGAAATCATCTCCCCTGAGACAGGTCCAACACGAACAGACAACAACCGCATGGTGGTGTCACGAGTTGGATCACCTCAGGAAGATTGCCAGGAAATCCTTTAATAAGGAAAGAACCACAAAACTCAAAGAGAACTGGGATACACAAAGAATACAAGAAAATCTGCAGACAAAAACAGAGAGATGCATGGAGATCTTACTGCGAAGAAATCAAAAAAGATGGCAGGAAAACTGCCAACCTCGAAGATACCATTAAGCTTCTGCTGTCAACACACTTGCCTGAGTCGGTCTTCATAGACGTGCCCGACTAAACAAAGGATGAATACAACCCATCTGTCTATGATTGGCAAACTGCCACATACATTGTAGACGATGAAAAAATTATATGGGGAATATCCAGCTTCTCTCCAGGACCTGACGATATCTATCCAGTCCTACTTAAGTGGGATCTGAAAGAACTCACAGAAGATGTGAATATAAGAGGCTTGGTTTTTAGAGGATGTCCACACGGAGGGTTGCTATCACCTCTACTGTGGCACATGGCCTCGACACCCTCATTATCCTCCTCAATAATGACAGACACTACACAATAGCATATGCAGATGACCTGGTCATTCTGCAAACAGGATATTTTGAAAACATACTCTCCGAAAGAATGCAAGTAGGTCTCAAAATTATAGAACAGTGGTGTAAAGACCATTCACTTTCAATCCTAAGAAGACTGAAATGGTCCTTTTCACAAGGAAAAGTATGAAAATGGAATTAAAACCTCCAGAACTTCTAAAAACAAAACTAAACTTAGCAACAGAGGTAAAGTACTTAGGTCTCACCTATGACAGCAAGTTAAATTAGAAAACAAGAGTCAGAAGAGCATACATAGCTTATGAACAATACCGCCGAACCGTGGGCCGCACTTGGGGTTGCAGTGCAGTTGTCTGGGTAACGAAAACTCAAAAATTGACAGATATCCGTAAACTAGAGCAAATTCAAAGAACAGCATGTCTCAACATAATAGGAGCTATGAAAACAACACCGACCAGAGCCATGGAAGTCATTCTTTGTCTTACTTTCCTTGATATTTACATCAAAGAAGTAGTTTTTTACGACAATGAAACGCTTTCGTACGGTTGGAATAGAACCTGATGTAGGATCTGGTGAGACGAGACGTGGCTTTTGGCAGGAGGCGCTCGATATGCTCTCACTGCTTCAAACGAACGTGGACTCCATCTCACTGAGATATATGTTTCATATTCCATATAAAATTGTAACAGAATAAATAGAAGAGCCGGAAGTGGCAGGTACGATTCATATCTATACCGACGGTTATAAAACACAACAAGCCTCAGGATGTGGAATATACTCCAGATCCTTAAACCATAACATAAAATAAGATGTAAAAAATAGTGCCAGTGTAGTTCAAACAGAGCTCACAGGGATTTTCATAGCAGCAAAAGAAATCACCCGAAACAATATCACTGAAAGGAACATGCTCATCTATACAGATGGCAGACAAGCACTACTCACCCTAAACAGACCACTAATGTATTCAGGGTTAGTACTAGAATGTCACGAAGTTTTGGCCGAAGTATCCATTAACAACAGATGAATCGAAGGTCATGCCACTTTGAAAGGTAACCATCTTGCTGATTCACTGGTCAAGAAAGTAGCCAACCAAATAGTTTTTGGACCAGGCCCTTCTATTGACTCGACAAAATCGGTAGTGACAGACCTAATTAAAAGAAATGTTCTTTAATGTCCTTGTGAAATTCATGAAAAGATAAGGTAAAACAACAAACTGCAGAGTTACCAGGGAGCTCTTAATTTATCCTGACAACACTGGCGCAAACAAATACTTGACTATGACTAGACATAATCTGCGCCCAGTAACAGGCATTTTGACTGGTCATTGCCAAGTACGAAAGCATCTCCATATCATGGGGCTGTCAGAATCCACACTCTGCAGAGAGTGCGAAGAAACAGAAGATGAGACTCTCGAGCATATCCGTTACGATTGCTCGACGTTCTCATTTATTAGAAGAACTATGTTCGGCGAGTATCGGCTAACACCGGCCGATATAAAAGAAGCACCTCTTGGCTAGGAGGTATTCTTCATCTTAGGAGGATGTACAATGGGCCTAGTGAAGCTTAATATACCGGGAGGTAACGACAGAAATTTCCGGGCCCTTTTCGCAGGTTTAATTTTTTTATATGAGTTATGCAGGTAATATGTAACTCTAATATAAATGTCTTCCGACGCACCCTTACGACAGGGGGTTGCAGGAGGGTTGCAATTACAGTAAAAAAGTTATAAAAAAATCATTTTCGCATGCACGAAACTTGTACACGTTAATTTAAACAAATAAAGTTTAGAAAATATCGTCTTTCACCTGAATTCCACGACAAAGTACGTCTTCCACCTATCTAAAAAGGCAAAAAAAATAAAAAAAAAATATATATTCGCAAAGCTGCAATTAAGTGTGATGCTTATTTGTGTAATAAGAAAGCTTAAAATAATAGTCTTCCATCGATACAATACAACGAAGGTCGTCTTCCAGGCTGATAAAGGGGCGCGTCACATGCGGCACGTGTTAGTTATAAATTCCAAAACGGAACTTTTATTTTTAAAAATTTTATTACGCAAAAATACACTTAAAAAGATATTTAAGACTCTGGACTAAAGCATACACTAAAGCTACCTCAAATAACAATAACAATAATAATAATAATAATAATAATGTTTTACTCCCATTTATAAACTAAAAATGATTATTAAGTAAAAATTATTTTATTATAGCATAATAGAGTCTATTATGTTCACAATATATAACTCCTCCCTGCTTTTGTTTTAAAAAATATGGAGTTATTTTTCAAAACAACTTCTGTGGGATTTTCTAATTCAGTTTCTTCGTTTTTTTTCTTTTTTTTATATCTTCTTAAAAGCTGTCTTCTGTAATTAATTAGTATTAAAATAATTATGCAAATAAAAATTATAAAAATTGTTCCCAAAGTGCTTGAGTAATTAAAATTATTTTGAATTTCTCTAATTGGCTTTAATTGTTTAGAAATTTGATTAATTTCATATAAATAATTAAAATCTAATTTAGTATAGGTATTAGAAGTTTGATAAGATTTTGAAGTTTTGACTTTTTCTTCATGTCGATCTTCGAGAGAATGAAAGGCTTTCCTCTGCTCAGTTGAATGTTGTTGATATATCTTTCATAGGTCCAAATTTCACAAGAGTTTGGTATTTTAATTAATACAGGTAACCTTATGTCTATATACTGGTTACTGTTACATTTTTAAAGAATTTGTTCAGGTTTTGACGGGATTATTAAGACTTCTTACTTCTTCGTTACGTTGTTTAATTTTGTTATACATCTGTTTACTAATTTGTACATAATTAGAAATTATTAAGTGATCGTCTAAATCAAAGGCCTTTGGATTATCAATGTGTCCTTTAATTATTTTAAATGACGTGAACTTTGTCACTGAATGTATACTATTATTATAACAAAATACAGATTTTTTTAATTAGTCGATCTGGTGTGAAATATCTTTCTTCTTGTAAACATCTATAATGTTCTAATAGACTTGATTGAAACCGTTTCACTGGAGAATTTGAAATACTATTTTTTTGCGGAAGTGATATGTAGTTGGATATGGTGTAGTTTATAAAAATCTTCTAAATCGAAATTTTTTAATTCTGTTCCACTGTCGGTAGTGGTAGTCCGTGATGTGAAATAAATTCTAAGAGTTTTTCTACGACTTAAATTCCTGTTATACAATCTAGGGGATAAGCCTGACCATATCGCGAAAAAGAATCGATTATAGTCAAATAAGATTTATTAGAAATTTAAAATGTATCTAAATATATGTGTTCAAAGAGTTTTGATGCAGTGAGTGCCAAATTAAATTTTATTACTGGTGGATTTCGATCAAATTTATTCTTTAAGCGTGTTTGACCGTTATTAATTAAATTTTCAATATCATTAGCCATTCAAGCCAATAATATCTGGAACTAGTGCTTAGCTATTTCATTTCATTTCTACTACAAAGTACAATATGTTTGGTTTTTGAAAAATTAAAAAATCAGTATACTTTGAAATTTATTAAAGAAATTTATAAATTCTTCATTGTGTTCTATTTTAAATATTTTTCTTCAAAGAAGTAGTTATTTTTGAAAAAAAATTGAATAAATAACTTTTTTTAGTAATATCCTATATGGCCAAAGAATGATTTGAGATTTGATGTATATTTTTTTGTATTTTAATAAAATTAAAATAAAAGTAGGTATATGAGTACGTGTTTAATTTTAACTAGATTTATCTCTGTCATGGTAGTTCTTAATACTTTTTGAATTTTGTTCCTTTTCTCTTAAAATTTAAAAAACATTTAAATTGTATTATCTTCCTGTTACATTTATATTTACCCAGTGTTTTCATTTCAGTCTTAATTTTATTATTAGGTAATTTGTTAAAAAAAATTGATAAGTAGCTCTATAAAAATTCCAATAAAATGCATATATTTTGTGCTTTTAAATTTACTTACTTTAACTAGAGAAATTATAAATACTCAATTCGAACTTATCTCTAAATTATATTGCAAATAATTAATGTATTGCATACTTTTAAATCTACAACAGAATTTTATCGTATTTCATCTATTTACTATAATTTCGATTTTGACGGTAAAATGTGCAGTTATAGTAATTGAATGAATAATTTATTACACAAATATTTACTTCGTAATTGTTCTTTTAAAATTTTACACCAATGATCATTTTTCGAAAACTTAAAGATACTACGTTCTAGCTGTCGAGAACACCTTTATCAGCTTGGAAGACGACCTTCGTTGTGTTTTATTGGTGAAAGACTATTATTTTTATTTTTCTTACTATAAAAATAAGCATTACA